GTCGGGAAGTGCTTCCGGATGTCTACCTCAAGTCCCTGCAGTCCAGGGTGACCTTTAGGATCCTATGGTGAGTGTCCTCCTGTGGCCTCAGCCACACTCGTTTAATACCTTCCCACCCGGTTGTAGGGAGGAGTCAATGAGTTAATACCTGTGAAGAGCTTAGAACAGTGCCTGGTCCATGGTGAGCACCATAAAGTGTCTGCTACTAGGAAGCTTATTATTAGCTTTTTACCTGCAGGGTCTGTCCCTGGCCCATCACTGCCCGCCTTTTGATAGGACTCCTGAGGCTGGGCCCTGCCTATCTGGTTTGGGGGAGAAGTCCAGATGCATTTGCTCACGGGGCCAATGTGGGCTCCCTCTAAGTCCTGCATACCTGCATCAAGGTATTTAGTCCCAATGTCTTGGGTTCATCTGCCTCTTGTCTGCCTCCAGCTAGTCTGAGCTCTTGAGGGAAGGCACCTGGTCAGCACAAAGCAGGTACCCAATGAACGAACAAATGAACGCTCTAAAACCACTGGCAGAAGCATATTCCTTGGCCCTCCTTTCCCTCCAGTGACACCTTAATTCCACATTTCACAGCTCCCCTTATCTCTCTGTCCAAGGTCAGACCCGCTTGCCCCACCTGAAAGGCCCCTAAAAGAACTCAAGGATGAATTTGAGGACTAGTTGGCTAAAACTTGTCATTCCTATTGACTGATGGGTCAGAGGGCAAGTGGATACCAAGATGGCCCCACCTTCGGTGCATCACCCAAGCCAGAAACCCAGGAGTTACCTTCATCCATTTATCCAATAAATGCTTTGACCAATAGAGCATGGTGGAAGTGACTGTATATTACTTCCTAGGCTTGGCACAAAAAGGCCATACAGCTTCCTCCTCCTTCTCTTGGAACACCCTCTTTTTGTATGTCCCTTCTTGGGATGCTCTATCTCAGAGCCCAGCCTCCTAGCTGGGAGAGGTCAAGCGTTGGTGCTTCGGTCTTTAGACCCAGCTGAGCCCAGCTTTTGAGTCCTCCTAGCCCAGACACCTAATATATGAGTGAAGAAGCTGCCAAATGATTGAGTTAACCCCCAGCACTCTAGTCTTCCCAGCTGAGACCCCAGACACTGTGGAGCAGAGACCACCCCTCTCAGCTGTGTCCTGTCTGAATTACTGACCCATGGTATTTGTAACCATAACAAAATGGCTGTTGTTTTGTACCAGGTTTGAGGAGAGGGGGACTTGTTATGTGGCAGTAGCGTCTATAACACACATCACATTAACAACCAAATTCCAAGATTCTACCTCGCCAACATCACCTGCATCCTTCCTCTCCATCCCACCTGCAACTGTCTTGAATCAAACCTCACCATCTCTCACCTCCCAGTTGGAATCTCTGTGTCCAGTCACTCTTCTCTTCCCTGCAGCATCCAGAATGACTGTTCTAAGACAAAATCCAATGACATCATTCCCCTGCTTCAAAGGCTCATCATTGCTCATAGAATAAAGTCAGAGCTTCTTAGCAGGACCTATGAGGCCCTTTATGATCTGGTCCTGGTCCACCTCTCAAGCCTCATCTCTCGTCACTCTCTACATTTCACCTGTACCAGGTGTTTCTGTGCCCTGGATGAGCCAGGCTCCAGGAATTGACGGAATACCAATGGAGATATTTTAACAAATGGATGGAATGCTGGAAGTACTCACTTGTCTATGCCAAGAAATTTGGAAGACAGCTACCTGGCCAACCAGCTGGAAGAGACCCATATTTATGCTTATTCTCAAGAAGGGCAGGGTATTTATTCTGCAGCTCCCATCCTTCCAGGCCCTCTTCTACAGCTGGGCTCTCTTTCTCTGGGTTCTGGTAACCATTCCTTCCTTTGTCCCTTCAGACCTAAGGAAGACCATGGTGCCTCACTGCTTCTAGCCCCAGAGTGCTTCACCTCCATTTTTTGGTTTCCCTTTAGCTTGTAAATCGCCACTTCCATTACTCTGAGTATGTTGTCTGTTTCCCGTTGGGACCCTTATTGATATACTCAGTTGTCCTCCAAGACTCAGCTCAGTCTCCCCTCCTCTATGAAGTCTTTTTTGACCTGTTCCCACCCAGGTCCTGGACACACTTCCATCCCAACCCCATCATGCTCTGTTTCCCCATGTGTCTTCCTCTCTCAGCAGTACCAGTTGACTCCAACTCATGGTGCCCCCATGTGTGTCAGAGTAGAACTGTACTCTATAGGATTTTCAGTGGTGGAGTTTTGTGGAAGCAGATCGCCAGACCAATTTCTTTTGAACTGTCTGAGTGGACTCGAACCTCCAGCTTTTCAGTTAGCAACAAGCACCTTAATTGTTTGCACCACCCAGGGACTTTAGGTGTATAGCCGTATGAATTTTGACAAACATATACAGTACCATAACCACCACTACAATCAAAACAGAATATTTTTATCACCCTGGAAAGTTTCCTCATACCTTTTTGTAGTCAATTCCCTCATTCTATTCCCAGCCCATGGCAACCACTCATCTGTTTTCTGTCTCTATGGTTTTGCCTTTTCCAGAATGTCATATAAATGGAATAATATCGTGTATTGCCTTTTGTATCTGGCTTCTTTCACTTAGCTTTTGAGATTCATCCTCATTGTTGTTTATCTCTTCACCAGTTGATGGACATTGGGTTATTTCCATTTTTTGGTGATTATGAACAAAATTGCTATAAACATTTGTACACAGGTTTTTATGTGGACATATGTCTTCATTTCTCCTGGGTAATTACCTAGAGTGGGATTACTGAGTCATATGCTAATTGTATATTTAACTTTATAAGAAACTGCCAGACTGTTTTCCAAAGCAACTATATTTCTATTTTGCATTCCCATCAACAATGTATGAGAGAGTTCCAGTTGCTCCACATCGTCATCAGCATTTGGTATTGTCAGTTTTTTTACTTTTTAACCACTCGAGTGTGCAGTGGTTATCTCATTGTGGTTTCAATTTGCATTTCCCTAGTGACTAAGATTCAGAGTGTTTAAGGTTACATTGGCCTGGACTGGGGTTGAGTGATTTGTACAGTAGAGTGGATTTTTTTTTTTAATGCCAAATAAAGAGGCTATTCATTCATAATCTCAGAATGATTAGAAAAGCCATGGGGCCTGCTAAGAATTTCATCCAGGGCCAGGAAAACCCACCTCTGGAGAAAGGATAGAGCTACCCTATGATTGTGTCCTGTCCAGTCTGCTCATTTGGTAAAATTGCAACATCTCTGTCCCACTCCTGCCTACCTCCACCTCTGCTCCACCCTGTCTTTGCACCATGTTTTCACTGCCTTGATGGTGCATCCCTCATTTTTCACCTGGAAAATCCTATTTAAGCTTAAATGGCACCTCTTGAAGCACCCAGCATCTCCGGAAGTTTCCAGACAAAGCATGCAAGATGATGTTAAAAACGTGCAGCCTCTTTGGGGCCAGAGTTGGATTTGCTGTTTTGGCTTCATTCTTTACTAGCTGTGTGGCTTTGGGTGAGTAACTTTACCCTTTCATGCCCAGCGGTGCATATAGCAACCATGAACTTTTTCAGCCTCTGGGGTTTGTCGGGAAGCTGCTGTATCACTGACAGTGTGTGCTGCTGGAGGCAGGGGCCTTTATAATTGTTTGAAACCAAAGAAATGGGCATGGCTGCAAATTACTGTTTTTACAGGGTATTGTATGAGGTGTCTGAATTTTGGTAGGAAAAACAGAAATTTTGAAAAATTACTATTTGTTACACATATGTACCAAAAGACCCTGGTGGGGATTCCGGGGTATAATTAGTGGTACTTCATATGTACCACTAAACACTTAGGGTAGGCCTGTGGGAGGGGGCAAGAAAAAAAATCTATACTACCTATCAAAAAATTCAGACACAATCAGTGATTTGGCATGCTTCCATTAATGAAACCACATGGTATCAACAAAAAATTCAAAGCAGAAAGTAATTGGGTTACCAAAGGGTTAACTGCTCTGAGCCTCAGTTTCTCCAACTGTAAAATGGGGATGACAATACCTACCTCAGAGGTTTGTTATGCTAGAGGTATTGTCATGTTATTTTTAACTTATTACTATGACTAATTGGCCTCTATCAAAGGCCTGACGGGCTCTACCGTGCATATTTCTTTACTTGTTTCTATTCCCAACTAATCGCTTATAAAGGACAGGCCCTGTGGCTTAGGCCCCTTTTGGCCCCATCCCTGACACACTGTTGGCAAATACCAGCCCCTCAAACACATTTGTTGAAATGGATGGATGAGGAGGAAGGGATGTGGCCACAGAGGAGCCAGGAACCTAAGAGACCTAACGGAGCAGGGCCACTAAGCCAGCGGCTCCCTTCCACACAGGGAACGGCTGAGCCTCGGGGGGGGAAGGGGGGGGACTTGTGATTGGAATAACCGCTGGGTTGAAGACCTGGGCCCCAGACCGGATGTGGATACGCGGGTGTGAGAGGTCAGAAAAAAAGGAACTAAGAGCAGATGTCAGAAAAAAGGGATGAGGAGGAAAAAGACTGAGAAGGAAGAAACTCCGTGGAGACGGCTGGCTGAGGAGTGGGCCCAGTGATGGAGCCGGGATGGAGCGTGAGGATGGGGGCGGGGAACCGGGGTGCTGGGAAGGGTAGGGGTCCTGGGGGGTGGGGGGAAGTCGGAGCAGTTGGAGAAGGGACAGCCCTCCCAGGGATGGCGCTCCAACGCAGAAGGAAGGGCGTGGAGGCACTGGGACCCAGCGGAGAGGTCCGGGG